TATCCAGAGACCTGGCACTTCCTCATAGCCAGGGCTATCTGGTCATTCCAGAGTTCTGCTACAATCAAACTTTCCAGTTGGTAACTAGTTTTCTGTTATCAAAGATACTGCCAGAGGCCTCTGAAAACAAGGCAATCTTCATCATGTTAGTTACACGTTATTCCCATGTGCTTCGTGTGTTATTCTCTGTGCTTTCCTAGAGGTACCTGCTAAACAGAAATATCTCGTGCTCTACCAATCCATTCACAACTATGCACACCTGTGTTCACTGCAGCATTAGTTACGATAGCACAAAGATAGAAGCCTTACCCTTCTTTGTGTCTTTCTCCATTTTACCCAAATTTAATTTTGGTTCTGACCCTAACCATCAACATCCAAATGAATATATATTACCTCATCTTCAGCACACACAGGCTTTCCAAGAAAAGTGAAAATGCACAACGGACCGAATTCGATACCTGGAGCCTTGTGAAAATGAATGCTTAGGTTTCACCAGAAGAGTTTGCAAGAGTGGAGTCTACAGACTGGCCGCAAATCTTTGGCAAAGGCATCTCTGATAAGGGTCTAATCTTCAATATGTATATAAACTTCAACAACCCAACAATAAAAACACAAACAATCCACTCAAAAGGCGGGCAACATACATGAACAAACGCTTCCCCAAAGATCACATTCAGGTGGTCAACACGAAAGAGGTTTGTGATCATGCACTTACTGCCACTGAATCGATTCTGACTCATAGTGACCCTATAGGACAGAGTCGAACTGCCCCTTGGGTTTCCAAGGCTGTAAATCCTTACAGGAGCAAAAAGACTCATCTTTCTCCTGAGGATCAGCAGGTGGTTCGAACTCCCGACTTTGGGGTTAGGAGCCCAATGCATAATCTACACTACCAGGGATCCTTTCATTAGCCAATAGAGAGATGTAAATCAAAACTACAATGAGATAACATCTCATCTACAAACATAGCAATGGTTGAAAACAACAGAAAACAGTTCAATGCAGGCAAGATTATGGCGCGATTGGAACTACTAGGCTTCAGTGGTGGGATTTTAAATGGCACATCCACTACTATGGAAAGCAGTACGGCCATTCCTCAAAAAGCTAGCTATAGAAATATCTCGTGATCTACCAATCCATTCACAACTATGCACACCTGTGTTCACTGCAGCATTAGTTACGATAGCAAACAGATAGAAACAGCTGAAAGCCCATCAGTGGATGAATGGATGAGTAAACTGTGGCACATACACACAAGAAAATGCCACAGAACTAAAGAATATGAAGAGTCTGCGGATGAATCTAGAGGACAATAGGCTCAGTGAAATTAAAAAACCAAACACATGGTTGTGTAGTGGGTTACACATTGGGCTGCTAAGCAGAAGGTCAGCAGTTTGAATCCACCAGCTGCCCCAGGGGAGAAGGATGAGGTTGGCTGCTCCTGTAAAGCTCAGCAGACTGGAAGCCCTAAAGAACAGCTCTACTCTGTCCCGAAGAGTTGCCACAAGTTGGAATTGGCGTGATGATAGGGTTTTTAAAAAGATAGAATGGATATATACTTCACCACCACCCCCCAAGGAGGCGAATAACAGAAATGCAGGTGAAGGGAGACATGGACAGTGCAAGACACAAAATAACAATAATAATAATATATAATTGATCAAAGATTCATGAGGGTGGGGGAAGGGAGGGGGAAAAAAGAGAAGCTGATACCAAGGGCTCCAGTAGAAAGAAAATGTTTTGAAAAAGATGATGACAACATATGTACAGATGTGTCTGACAAAATGGATATATGTATGGATTGTGATAAGAGCTGTAAAGTAAAATAAATAAAATAAAATGAAAATAATACATAAATTAAATTAATATCATAGATTTTTCTTTTTAAAAGAAGTGTATACGAAAAAGGGATATTTTTGGTAAATGTTATTAGTGTTTTCAATTTTGTAGCAACAAGAGGCACCATAAAACACGTGCGAGGTTATGTAGACAGGTATGTGTCTAGAAAGGCATCGTCAAGAAAGCACATGTGCACATGGAGAGGTATCTGTAGACATAGACACCATTGTGAGGAGCCGTCAAATCGGTTCCAACTCGTAGCAACCCTTGTACAACACAGCAGGCATCGCCCTGCCATGTGCCATCCTCACAACTGCTGCAGCCGCTGTGACACTCCATTTCCTTCAGGGTCTCCCTCTATTGTATCAATCATAGTCCTTTCTCAGGGACTAGCCGCTCCAGATCACAAATCTAAAGCACATGGGTCTCACCATCCTCTTTTCTAAGGGGCACTCTGGCTGTAGTTCTTCTAATACCTCCGTGTTTGTTCTTCTGCCAGTCCACTGTACTTTGAAGACTCTTTGCCAACACCCCAAATGGCCCGATTCTCCTTCAGTGTCCTGATTCAAGGCCCAACTCTCCCATTACATGAGGGGATTGACAATACCACGGCTTGGGTCTGCAGAGGCATCTTGGTGCACAAAGCGACATCCTTCTCTTCAACACTTTAAAGAGGTCTTGTGCAGCACATTGTTTATACTGTTGAAAAGAGGTATTTGCCATGACGAAGTTGTTGCCCTTGCAAAATTCTACCATGCGATCTCCAGCTTCGTTTCTATCACCAAGGCTAGATTGTTTGTCTTTGTTTCCAACTTTTACCTTCAAGTTGCTAACAATTATCAATACATCTGGAACATGTTGTGGAAAATGAAACCACTGTCACTGAACAATCCATGCAGTAATGGACAAATGAGAACCTAGCTTGCTATGGGCTCAAGAGACTTGGAAGTTGTTTAAAGCACTGTCTCTAGGCCTCAACTCTCAAGATTCGGATTCAGGAAGTCTAATAATGTGCACCAGAGGGGACTTAAGAACGAACATTTCCAGCATGCCTCCTGTGACGTGGCTGATGCCGGCCCGGACCAAACTCTGAAAATCAGTGTTCTAGCCATCACCCAACTAGAAGAACCAACATCTAGAATCTGGTGCAAGTTGTCCCGCCTGCTTTCCTTACCAATCACTAAAAAGCAACAGATGAAAGGTGCCATCAGTGGAAACAGGTTCTTCCAAGAGTAGCCCATCAGATTCCCATTCTCACAGCAATGCCCCCTATCTCTAGGAAGGGCTGGTTTCAAAACCTGAAATACCAAAGCTTCAGAGTCATGTCCTTGTTACTTGGACTTCTGGCACATCATTACAGTTCACAATTACACATGACCTCACAACCATCAGTTTCCACTCAGGCCAACAGAGGCTTTCCAGGCGTGGATAGTCTCAGATCATGGTCACTGTGGCTGTTCTAGAACAGGAAGAATTCATACCACGAGTGTACCATATCTACTTACCCATCTCCCGATTAATAAACATGTGATTTCCCCACTAAAGTTTTACTGTGAAACAAAATGTGGCAAAGATACTGAAATGTCTACTTAAGTGGGTATTTCTGCAGAACAGATTACTAGGAAAAGAAATAGTGAACTGGATCAAAGGCTATAACATTCTTTATATTATACAGTGACTCCACCTCTTACATTCCATTAAAAAAAAAAAAGTTAATGCTACACCAATAACTCCACCAAGATTTTTGTCTACTATTTTAGAAACTCATTATTTTATGGAGTATAACATCCAAATAAAAGCAGATGTGTATCTGCTTACATATAGCTGATTGAATTAATTGAAATATATATTCAATGCCTAAAAAGCACCACTTTCTGTTAATATACAGAAGAAGAAAAAAACATATTCTTTTTTTAGAAAAGAAAAACTGGCTTCTAACGATAGGCCAAAATGTATTTAAATTTCATCTATTGAGAAGTGATGGGCTCTGGCCCAACTGGCTTTTCCCAACTCCTGAAACAAGATACACCCCCGCCCCCACTACAGACGTTTACACACCCTCCTCGCTCCCTTGACACTCCGTCCCCCCTCTGCTGCCGATGGCTTGGCTCAACCGTCATCTCATCAAATCCGCCTCCCAGATGTCTCCAGGCTAGGTCAGGCTGCTTGTTCTATGTTTCCACAGAACCACACTCCCTGCCTTCTGAGAACTTAATTTGAAATTATACATTCATTAGAGTGATGATAAGATCAGCAACCATTTTTTCCACGAGCCTGTAAATTTAATAAGATCAGGAACTCTTGTCAGTTTTATTTTCCTTTCATTCAGCACATCTGGCTAAGTATCCAGCTTGTCTGATTAAAGGTCAAGAAATATTTAAGGACAGAGAGTGAAGGAGGGAGACCATGAGAAAGGGGGCTTCAAAAAGTTCATGGAAAAAGTGAATGAAAAGATACTGGATTTTTCCTCCCACGGCTTCCTAAAACCCTCTAAGATGGATGAGAATAAAGGACTATGAATATATAACTTTCATTACACCAGAGTTAAACATTTTTTTTGTCCTTACAGCAGATCTGCAGTAGGAGACTCAAGCAATCAAATCTTTATGAAAAATGGGGTAAGTGTGTTAAGGAAAATGTTGACAGTAAAAATTTACCCTTACATGAACTCCTCCAAGGCATTATCTTTGGACATCCTGTCAGGAGAGACCAGTCCCTGGAGAAGGACATCGTGCTTGGTAAAGGAGGGGCAGAGGAAGGTCCTCAGGGGGACGGAGGGACACGGTGGCTGCAATGATGGGCACAGGGACAATGGGAAGGCTGGTTCTGTTGTGCAGAGAGGGTTGCTATGGGTCAGAACCGATGGATGGCCCCCGATAAAAGCAACAATAAGGTAGCATCTGTTTTCTTTCCTAACGTTTTCTTGTTCTCATCTTGGTCCAGATGTATATTCTTATGAAATATCATTCATGACACTCGGAGGAGGAGAACCAAGACCTTGTGTGAATGCCTCCCTACGAAAACAAAGGTAGCATTTACAGAGAAATGAAGAAAGAAATAGGGTAACTTTCATTGCTGTTCGTCAGCAACCGACCTGCAGGTGCATGATTTGAGTACAATCGTGTTCTCAAGGGCTTTGTGCTGGGAGACGGGTTACGCACCTGCTTTTATACGTTAGACGAACAGTTCGTGTTCCTTCACACTTTCCAGGCTGCTGCTCTTTGGAAGCCTGTTCCCATTTAGAAATAATGTCACAAACCTGGAATGGAATTGGCAAAGTGAGCTTTGCAGTAACTTACTAGGCGCATACAAATACAAGGCCAGTCTGCCTGTATATGGACTGAAATGTCCAATTAATACAATCAAATCAAATGTACTGAAGCCCTTTGTGTTTAATTATAAACTGCTCTTTGGTCGACTTGCCCTCTTGGACACACATTAACTTTGGCCTGTGACCATGAAATTTTTTTTTTAACTTAAAAGGGAATCTTAATGCAGGACTCCTGAATCTGCAAACAAGAAGATTCCTGGAATTTTTTCATGGGTTGGTCACTGAAAAAGTAACTTCTGTGTTTATGAAGACTGGAATTACTGAAGTTATCCCAAAGAAATCTGCAACATAATCTTAAGATTCTTTGATTGGGAAAATATAAAAATTCTTCAGGAATCAAATGAATATTTTAAAGACTTGTTGTTTAGAGAATTATACATAAACTTTATTTTTCAGTGGGGTGAGGCTGTTCTCCACCAATGCCCTTAATAATTATTCAGTTCAACTCAACCAAAGGTACAAGCTTATGGTGTTGACTAAATATTAACAGCAATGCTTTAGGAATGTTCATCTAAAATGGATATTAAGACGTGTTGAACTATACATAACACCCCCGGGGCTGAGGAGACAGGACTAATTTATAAAGATTTTCAAATGACAGCCAAAGAAATCGTGGAGGGGTTGGGGGGTGGGGAATACTGTACTTACTAGCCTACACTCCTGATTAACTAACCTTAGTTTTCAATAGCAGTCTGTGGCGCCTTGGAAGAAATGTTGGCTATTTTTGCAGCTGGCTTTGGAGTTTGAAGAACATAGAACTGTTTCATATAGTTTCACCTGTGAATTATTCTTTATGAATCTGGCTCTTCTACACCTCCCCAATTTTTAATCTCCGAATCACAGAAACCTGTCACCTGTCCTAAGGCACTTATTCCCCAGGGCCATGTGGAAACCCGTCAAGTAAGCACAGGGTCCAGACTCGGTTTTAGCAGTTGGTTTAGGGGACGGAGTATCCCTCTCTGAATCTCAAGTTTATGCATCTGTAAAGTAAATGGATTGTTTCCCAGATCCATTGGCTTCGAGTTGATGCTGACTCCGGGTGACCCCATGTGTGACTGAGTACAGTTCTGTTCCACGGGGTTCCCACAGCTGTTTTTTGAAAACTAGATGGATAAGCCCTCTAAGGTGCTTCTGGGTGGGCTTCAACTGCTCAGCTTCATTTGGCAGCTGAGAATGTTAGTTGCTTGAACCATCTAACTCACTGACACAGTCATTTCCGACTAACAGCGACCTCTAGAACAGAGGTTCTCAACCTGTGGGTTGCGACCCCTCGGGGGTCGAAGGACCCTTTCATCACAGTAGCAAAATGACAGTAATGAAATAGCAACGAAAATAAATTTATGGTTGGGGCGTCACCACCACATGAGGAACTGTATGAAAGGGTCATGTATTCGGAAGGTGGAGAACCACTGCTGTAGGGCATGTTAGCACTATCTCTGGGTTTCTGAGACTGTCACTCTTGTGGGAGTAGAAAGCCCTGTCTTCCATCAGAGGAGCGGCTGGTGGTTTCCAACTGCTGACTCTGCGGTTAGCAGATCAACTCCTAACCACTATGCCACCAGGGTCAGACGGGGCCTCTTCAAATCTCCTTGTGGTTCTATAAATGTACATCTCTAAGGTGCCATCTCTTGGTAGAAACTTGACTGAAACCATTTGACCACGATCTGGAAAAGGATGAACATTTAAAAAAATGCCTCCAATTTCCTTCTCTTTGTTGACTTTTTTTATGGCTGGAAATCCTTCTTTATTTTCCAAAGATTCCTTTTCTACCCATTGTTCACCTTCCAGTTCAGGGTTTCCCAATTCCTAATGCTGACCCGAAGTGTCTCATCTGTGGATCTTTAACTTTTACTTTCAACTACATTTTAAGGCACAGGACGTCTCTTTCCCGTTTCCGAGTCTCCCTGGTTCCTCTCAGAGGGTCCGGGCCATCCCTTGGGACACAGGAAACAATAGTTCACTGCCATCCAGTCAATTGTGACCCACAGCGACCCTATAGGACAGGGCAAAACTGCCCCTGTGGCTTTCCAAGAGTGTGTAACTCTTTACGGGAGGAGGAAGCCTCATCTTTCTCCTGTGGAGCGACTGGTGGTTTCGAACTGCTGACTTAGTGGTTAGCTGCCCAATGTGTAACACCCTCTGAACAACCTCCTATCACTAAGTAAATGAATGAAATGGAAAGCCAACCTATTATCCTTCCACACCTCCATCCTGAGATTTAGGGTTTTAGGTCTATTATTACTCCTCTTTTTCCTCTCTTTTCCATCAGATATATAAACTCTGAATTGTGAGTTTCGATGGTATCATTAAAGCCCTGCAGCTGTTTGTTCTGCATTCTGAAGATGAGGTGGCTTACATTTTTGGGAAAATTCCTGAGCGAAACGAACTCTTTTCAAATAGTTTCGCTTTTCTACTGTGTGCTGGATCGCTTCCTGCCAAGGCTGCGGCTTTACCTTGATGTTCCCTTGAGGACAGTGCTCGTGGTCCCTGCCAGAAGGGTCGTCGGTGAACAAAGCAAAGCCAGACTGGGCCGGCCTCCTCATCCCCGTGTCCTGGTTCAGGGTATTCAGAAATTCCTCCACTGTGGTGGATGCATCAAATCCAACGACCTAATCAGAAATCACAGGGCACTTCTTTTCATAAAAGGATATACGGTCCAAACTTCCATTTCAGGGAGGAAACAAGACAAAGTTGGGGCATGATTAATAACAAGGGGTATGTGTGTGTGTGTGTGTGTGTGTGTTTTAAATCATTTTATTGGGGGCTCGTTCAACTCTTATCACAATCCATCCACCTATCCATTGTGTCAAGCGCATTTGTACATATGTTGCCATCATCATTCTCAAAACATTTGCTTTCTACTTGAGCCCTTGGTATCAACTCCTCATTTTTTGACAAGGTGTGTTTATTCAGGCACGTTAACTGTTTTGCTCCAAGCCTCACTGAAGAAAATTAATATTGTCACTTCAGTATTTAGCTTGATGTGTGAATCTGGAAATCTCCGCTTCAGCCAACAGATATGAAATCAAGCTAAAAAGATCACTTGACAACTAGAAATGCCTTGTATTTGTCATGTCTCTCCATTAAACGAAAACCAAGAACTCTAGGATAATATGTAATTCTAGGATAATATGTAATCTTTAAGATGAAAGAAAACAAACACAAAATACATTTGAACAAATGGGTTCTTTTATCTATTTAATGCTTGTTTCTTCAGTAGGCAGATAAGTATCTGAATTCCATGATAAAAGACTTATGGCTGTAAAGACTAATTGCTAGTTTTGGAACATGTTTTGCTTCAATTAATCAGCAAGCCTCTTGATCTGAGAACTGGGAGGGTTGGAGAAAGTCTTCTCAGATAATCCCTGAGACCGGGAGACTTCAAAGGAGACGAAAATTGTCCCTAGCCAATATCAGTAATCATTTTCTCACCACACTATCGCACTGCCCGGGGAAAGTTTCAACCAAGGAACGTTTGTTCCTTGAAGCTCTTCCTTTATTCACTTCAATGCGGATTTGATGCACATCCTTTCTGGCAAAACTCTTTCAAAACTCAGATGTTTGGATATAGGACTTACTGTCTCCGTATGCTGATCAGTGTTGGTTGCTGATAAAGGTACGTAGGATGCACAAAGGCTGTGAGGCTAAGCATGTTTTCATGAGTGTGTGTGATGATTGTTAGGCGCCACGGAGTCCATTCTAACTCCCAGCCACCCCGTAAGACAGAGCAGAACTGTCTGGTCCCCAGAGCTGTAACCCGGTGGGAGCAGATGGCCACATCTTGCTCCGACTGAGTGCTTGGTGGGCTCTTAGCGTCCGCGACTGCTCAGCTGTTAACGAGGCTCACCTACCTGATATATTCCATTCATGAAGTGGACCGGGATACTGAAGGGCAAAGAGTGATGATAAGGATTTCGAAGAAGGGTGGAAAGAATTTCCATCCTGGAGGGTCTTGCTTCTCGGTCGCCATTTTGCTGCGTTCTTTCTACGCATCGCTGGCAGTAAATGGCATATTTTCCAAATTCTGTCCTATAAGACAAAGCCTAGGTTCAAACCCAAGGAAATGTTTAATTCAAGCCTCACAGGCAAATGATTCAGAGAACGCTCCTTGCTGTGGGTGGCCGGGTGGCCTAGTGGCTAGGTAGTGGACTCCTCACCACCAGGTGAGCACTTGGAAACCACCAGTCCCTCCGAGGGAAGAAGAGGAGCTTTCTACTCCCATAAAGAGCACAGCCAGGGGAAGCACAAGGCCACTTGTACCCTGTCTGTAGTCACAGTTTGTCAGAATCGGCGAAATGGCAGCAAGTTTGGTTTTGGGTGTCCTGGCTGTATGTTATTATACGTGTCTCATGTTAATATTCATAACCATGTTTCTCTTTGAATCTGCCAGACTTTTCTCAAATTCCAATGTCTTTATTATTATAACCACCCGATCAGACTTCCTATAAAAGCGTTTTCCATCTTTTTTGTAGTCTTTTCATCACAAATTGAATGGAAAATTCTAACTCACTACCATTGAGTCGATTCCAACTCATAGTGTCCCTAGAGGCCTGGGTGGAACTAGCCCTGTGAGTTTCCAAGATTGTAACTCTTCATTGGAGTAGAAAGCCTCCTCTTTCTTCCTTGGAGCGACTGGTGGTTTCGAACTGCTGATCTTGTGGTTAGCAGCCCAACGAGTAACCATTATGCCACCAGGCCTCCTGAATGTAAAATGACCACTCACTAAAAATGTAGAGATCGTCATTATATTCACAAGCATGGAGAAAATAATTATATAAATAATAGCGGAGGAGCACATCATAAGGCCAGGATGGCGACAGAGTTCCACGTTTGAAGAACGTTGGGGAGCGAAGCTGGCTACTGGCGGAGGTGAGGAATAATCTTCAATAATGTGCAACAGGCTGCTGGCATATTTTCCTTCTTTACCCTAGAAAGTCTGCACTTCTTAAAAAAAGACAAAGCATTAAACAAAAACCACCACAGGAAATACATATAAAAACTGGATGGAGATCTTATTTGCTCTCATGTGACATCTCATCTTATAATATTTATAAAAGCCGCTTGGCCGCATCTCTAAAGACATTTACACTCAGTGTCACCCTTTATCTGGACTCCTCAGTGACTCAATTGAAATCACATGGCCTTGATCATGGAGTCCCTAAATATAGCAGAATTGGAGGATTTGTTTTTTATGGCTTACAAGCTGGGTTTTTTTGGTTATTACTGGTCTCATTGTGTTAGTTCTGGAGTCTTCTTAAACAGCCTTACACACACCACTTGATGCCCAAAATGATCCTCATAAGCCCTGAGGGGTGTCCTGGGTCCCCAGGAAGCAAACTCATCTAAAGTGGATTGTATGCTGTTTCCTTCCAAGAGAGTGGACATTCTAGAGCAGTTTAATACATACAATTAAAACAGGAAGCAAGACCATAAGGCAAGCCTTCCACAGGAAAGTATTCCATAGAAATGGCAATAGGGAAAATGAAGGAAACAAGATAGAATAGTCTCTGTCTTAAACTTTTCACTTAAACATTTTTGTCTTTGCAATCATCTTCTACGAATCTAAGGACTTAATGTAACAAAGAACACCTTTTCCAAGCCCCACATAAATGATGACCAAGGGTTTCGCACATTCTTCGACACAGGGGCCTAGCTGACGATGAAATACTCTGTGGTTAACGGTGGGCTTACAGAGGTGACACGAACAGACCGACGGACTAGTTTCTCTGCACACCTGGAGTCTGCGTTCCTCTTCAGATGGAGCCTGAGGAGCCACAGGAAAGGATGGTGGGGAAGGAAGAGCCCAACACAGAGCGCCAGGAGCTGCCAGCCCTGGACAAAGAGAAGCACCATCCGTGAGACACCACATGCAGCCAGAGGTTCCAGTCAGATGCATGTGACGGAGCAACGGGCTGATGGCAGGTTCTCTGAACCCCAGACTGCTTTTGCGAACATTTACAATACGTAACTTCTACCTGTGGCCAGGACCATGATCCATTGTCTACAGCTACCCACGCTGGAATTCTTCCAACACGCAGCTCTGGCTGCCCTCTTGGACAGCACACTCAGAGACGAGAGATACTGTTTTGGCTCATTTATATATCTACCTGTTTAATGACATCTGATGTCACAATTTTGAGAAATGTCAATCATATGACAGTTAAAAAGCCATATGTGTATAAAAATAGCCAACCAATGACCCACGTATACATGGATGCACTCTACAAACTTAAATGGCAGATATAAGAATGTGAACCAAGGTTATCTTTAGGTTATAGGATTATATATGGTTTTTATTCTTCCTTTATTCAGTATTCTGTTTTACCTCCTTTTTTCTTTCAGCTAGCAAGTATAGTTTTAGTAATTCCTAAAATGTTATGTATTGTAAAACGCAAAAGTGAAAAAGACACTGTTTCTGCCCTTGAAAAACTCAGACTCTTCGTTGGCAATGTTAATGTGTGTGTGTGTGTGTGTGTGTATGTATTTTACTGTTACCAAATGGAAGAAAGGACTGACTGCTGTGGGAACCAGGGCAGGGGTCATAAAAGAGCCACTGCTGAGGTCATACAATGAAGTCCAGAAGAGGAAGCCAGGCAACAGGACCGGCACAAGGCACACAGTGAGGGTCATGTAAAGACAGGCAGGTTTGAAGATGGAGAGAGCTCATTCTTGGCTGCATGTGGGACCCAAGATGCACAAAATGGAGTGGAGAAAGATGAGGCTTCTGGGTCACATTAGCAAGGGCCAATGATAAAAATGAAGATTCGGGGCCCCTACCTTGCAAAAGGGCCTTCCAAGGGCCTGGAGAGACCCTATGAATTGTGTTGACCATAGTCACCTGCCTTATTTGGTTTTTCTTAACCAAAAGTTAAGTATATTTTGTTATTATTACTATTATTTTATTAAAGAGGGTTCTCCAAGTTGCTTAAGTCTAAATTCTCATAAAACCTGGAACCACCCAGGAGGTCTGTGTCTGCTAGCATAAGCAATTCCCGTTTTATCCTGTGGTTAACAGTGAGTCCATTAGACATTTAAGATTAAAAGGGCAGCATTTACCCAGGGAGAAAGTTCAGAGGGTTAGCAAAGAGGGAGGGATGGAAACAGGAAAGACAGGGAAGAGGTAGGACAAGAGATGATACACCGAGGGGACTGAAATCGATGAGTTCAAATGAAATGCGAATGAAAAACTCATCATCTACTTAATAAACTTTCACCCAATTAATAAAAAAAAGTTTTTAAAAGGAAAAGATAGAAGCAAGCATTCATTAGAGTGTAGACACAAATGACTAAAAAACGCCTGGAAAATATCGCCAATTGTACTTAAAGAACCCACTGCCATTGAGTCAATTTGAACTCATAGTGACCTATAGGACAGGGTAGAACTGCCCCTGTGAGTTCCCAAGACTGTAACTCTTTATAGGAGTAGAAAGTCCCATCTGTCTCTCTCAGAGAGGCTGATGGTTTCAAACTGCTGACTTTGCAGATAACAGACCAAGGGATAACCACTATACCACCAGGGCTCCTATTCAATTCATGAGTTATTTATAAAGAATATCTTGAAATGCTACAGAAATGCCACTTTTTTACCTGGAAATTAAAATTTTAAATTACAGTAACTATTCTTGAAGATATAGAGAAATTCTATAAATGGATTCAGAGGAATTAACTGAACTTGTGCACAATGACTAAAGGTTAAAGATGTCTAATGAAGAGGTATGTCTTTTAAGAGAAATAATGGAAAAATGAATTTTTAATAATTAAAATTAATGAGCTCATTAGTGTTTTAAAGAATCCTCAAGAATATACAGGAAATGTTAATGCACTACAGCTTTTTAAAAAGTTGTATACACAATGTAACTCTAGCAATAAGAAAAAGTGTGAGGGTGCTCCAGTGGCACAATCGGTTAGCGCGCGGTACTTATAAGAAAAAGTGTGACTATGCACACATGCATATATACATTTTTATATAATAACATATGTATATAGATAAATCAAAAGGCTATACATCAAAATATGAATTGCTTTTTTAGTTGACATACTTTTCCTATTCAATGTGTAACATTTTTAAAAAATAAATCATTTTACTGGGGGCTCATACAACTCTTATCACAATCCACACATACATCCATTTGTACATTTGGTGCCCTCATCATTCTCAAAACATTTGCTTTCTACTTGAGTCCTTGGTATCAGCTCCTCAGTTTTTCCCCTCCCTCCCTCACCCTTGATAATTTATAAATCATGATTATTCTTTCATGTCTTACACTGTGCTATGTCTTCCTTCACCCACTTTTCTGTTGTCCGTCCCCCAGGGAGGGGGTTATATGTAGATCCTTGTGATCGGTTCTCCCTTTCTCTCCCACCTTCCCCTTACCTCCTGGTATCTCTACTCTATTGGTCCTGAGGGGTGATCTGTCCTGGATTCCCTGTGTTTCCTGCTCTGATCTAATCTGTACCAGTGTACACCCTCTGGTCTAGCCGAATTTGTAAGGTAGAATTGGAATCATGATAGTGGTTGGGGGGGTGGGTAGGGCAGGAGGAAGCATTAAAGAAGTAGAGGAAAGTTGTATGTTTTATCAGTGTTACACTGCACCCTGACTGGCTTGTCTCCTCCCCACGACCCTTCTGCAAGGGGATGTGCAGTTGCCTACAGATGGGCTTTGGGTCCCCACTCTGCACTCCCCCTCATTCACAAGGATATAATTTTTTTGTTCTTTGATGCCTGATACCTGATCCTATCAACACCTCATGATCACACAGGCTGGTGTGCTTCTTCCATGTAGGCTTTGTTGCTTCTCAGCTAGATGGCCGCTTGTTTATCCTCAAACCTTTAAGACCCCAGACACTATATCTTTTGATAGCCGGGCACCATCAGCATTCTTTACCCAATGTGTAACATTCTTACAATTGGAGTGGTGGTGGTGGGGAATTCATCACAGTAAATTGCATTTATATGTAGCACTATACATACCTGCAGTGGTCCTGGTTGATTTTGTGGCTGTCTTCGTCTTGTCTGTTTAATGAGCTGACAGCAAATTTCATTCTGTAGCTCAGGATGTGTCAGACAGATTTGCAGAGCACTCTGGGCTAGAGATATGTGGTAATCAATTGCAGGGGAGTCAACTGCTGCATTTATAAAAAGCTGGCAGGTCTGAATTTAAAAAGATGCAATCAAAGTAAGAAATAATTAGATTTATCTGCAGGAATTAATATCGATTCTCTTTACAAAAAAGACCTGGAATGGCTGCATTAATATTAAACAATGTAGAATTTTACCAGGGACTGAGACAGTCATTTATAATGATAAACTAGTCAGTTTATCCAGATGCCATAAGAATCCCAAGTGCTTACATATGTATCTAATACCAAAGCTTCAGAACAGATGGAGTAAAAACTGATCAAACTGTATGGAGAAATAGACAAGTCTATGATTTAGCTAGATTTCAATGCCTCCTCTAAATTATTGCTAGAAGTAGACATAAAAATTAATAAGAATATAGAAAAACAAACACTACCAGCCAACTAGACCTAATTGATATTTATAGAACACACATTTATAGTGCATAGAATATGCACTTTATGGGCACATGAACATGAATGATCTCTCTTCCTACTAGACTATAAACTTTTTAAGGTTTTATTTATTTTTGTATACACTGCTTATCTTAGAGTGGCATAATGTAGCCACAGTAAATGTGTATGGAATGAATGAGGCCAAAATGAAACATAGTATCTATAGAGTTTATTAATTATAGTATCTAATTAATTCTGCTATCTATAGAAAGGCTAAGAAATGTTCATAAACACCTAGGGTTGGCTTTAATTACTATGTTGCTCTTTATCCATGCTGAAAACAGAATATAACCCAATTAATTTATTCTCTAATCTAAAACATCACTGTCCTAATCACAACCTGAAATGCTCAGTGACAAAGGGATTTCCATCATCAAATATTGATGGGGGTAAAAATAATAATTTATAAATTATCAAGGGTTCATGAAGGAGGAAAATGAGCTGATGCCAAGGGCTGTAGTAGAAAGAAAAGGTTTTGAAAATGATGATGGCAACAAATGTACAAATGTGTTTGACACATAGATATGATAAGAGCTGTCCGAGCCCCCAATAAAATGATTTAAAAAAATAATTATGGAGAAGTCTAGGAAATTGGTTATGCATATCAACATATTATAGGGTCTGAGAATTCTTGTAGGTATAACCCCCGCCAAACAAACAAACAAATACCTGTTTCATGTTGTTTCGCTTTAATTTTCTAAACTTATTTGTCTAGAAGTCCTCATTTTTTTGTTTTTTTCCAAATTATCTCAATTAGAAAATGGTAGTCTAAGTAATTCAAAGAAGATATAAAGAAATACTTTTCTTTCCCCAAAGGTTACAACCTAACCTTTCTTAAAACCTTTTAAAGTCGACTATTAATACTGATCATTCTTCTTTTTCCAGCTCCTTGTAATAAAACTGCCAAAGCTTGGTATGTTCGGTTCACTGAGTAGTAGCTGCTCCTACTTGAAATACTTTGGGATGGTCTTGCTTGGAGACATAGAAAGCAGCTATAACTTCCACCTATTTTTAAATGAACTCTTACAAATATGTGTATGTTGAATGTATGATTTCAAAATTACTGTTATAAAGAACTAAATATCTTGGGTTTGCTAAAGGCATTAAAATTCATCTGGTAGCAAAATAAAAATACTAAGTTCTTTGGAGTAGGCAACTCACCTACAGCAAACTTTCCTCCTGAGAGCAAATCCCCGAAGACAAGAACTACTACTGTGACAGTGCAGTTAGATTTTGCTTTTTAATGGATAGGATGACAAGTTCAAACTCGCTGAGTCAATACTGACTCGTAGAAAGCCTATGGGCAGAGAAGAACTTGCCCCTGGGAGTTTTCGAGACTCACTGTTTAAGCGAGTAGAAAGCCCCGTCTTTCTCCCGAGGAGCAGCTAGTGGTTTTGAATTGCTGGCCTCTCGGATCGCAGTCCCACTTGTAACCACTCGGGCTCCATTTTCAGACCATGTATACTTAGCATATTATTAACATAGTAGGATATAAATCTCGCTCGCTATTTTGTTTGTCCTACCTGTTCTCTTTGTCCCTTTCTTTCTCCTTCTGCTTATTTTTCATTATGTGCTTTTTGTTATTTCCTGGCTTACTAGCTATACCTCTTTGTTTTGTTGATTAAATGGTGTATAGCACATATTTTGATCTTATTCCACTCTACCTTTTAGGAATAGTGTATCACTTCATGTAGTCTAACAAGATTACAGCAGCATATTTATTTAGTTATTTATTTTATTGGGGGCTCATACAACTCATCACAATCCAGTAGCATATTTTATTTTCCCTCTCCCAGCTGTTTTGTTATTGCTGCTATACATTTGACTTCTGCCTATGTCAGGAACCCTTAAAGACAGTGCTGTTGTTTTGGCTGTAAACAGCTATTACCTTTCAGAGACATTTAAATAATAAAGGAAAATGTTTATTCGCCCACAGTTTCCATTTGCACTGCTCTTTACTCCTATGTGTAGATTCATATTTCCACCTGGAAATATTACTTTTTCTGCATAGCTGAATTTCTTAAATAATTCTTATAGTGCTGGCTTGCTGGCAATAAATTCTTTCAGCTTTTCTGTGTCTGAAAGAAGCCTTTATTTCGCCTTTGTTTCTGAAAGATACAAATTCTAGGTTGACAGACTGTTTTAATGTTTTTTAAAGCTATTAAATCTCTCTTATTTTCTGGCTTGCGTGATCTCCGATGAGAATTCTGTTGCCTGCGTTCATCTGTATGCTATTCCCCCCGCTACCTGCATTTGAGATTTTCATCTTCATCCCTGTCTTAAACAAATTGATACTGATGTTTCATGTGTTTTTCTGCTTGGAGCTTCTTGAGTTTCTTAGAGTTGAGGATTTCTGACTTTTACTAAATCTGAGAAATTTCACATCATTCATTTTCTGAATTTTTTCCTTCATTGCCCGTTCCTTGTATGGGGCGCCAATTGTACATACACTAGGCTGCTTGAAGATGACCTCCAACTCACTGTACTCTCTTCTTTCTTTTTACTCTTAGTTTCACTGTCCATCATTATGACTCAGGCAGGGATGTGTTAGAGTAGCGAATAGATGTATTGGGTTACATTCTGTCTTCCTCAGGGATAAAGAGTAACATGAGGTGAAATAAAGGGTTCTTTCAGACACAGAAAGGATAATGAAAGCCAACCCTAAGTGTTTATGAACATCTCTTAGCCTTTCTATAGACCCTGTGAATAATTAATTCATTCTCACTGTTGTGTTTAAGTTGACCAGGCTTTCCTTTTGATCAATCTTTCTTCCTCTGCTTTTAATCTCAGCCAGTGTATCTTCTGCCATTGGATTTTTCATCTCTAGGAATTCAATATGGATCTTTTTTTTTTTTTTAAACATTTTATTAGGGGCTCATACAACTGTTATCCCAATCCATACACACATCAATTGTGTAAAGCGCATTTGTACATCGTTTCTCAAAACATTTTCTCTCCATTGAACCCCCCGACATTAGGTCCTCATTTTCCCCCTCCCTCCCCGCTCCCCACTCCCGCATGAGCCCTTGATAGTTTATATGGATCTTATTTGCATCTTCCATGACTACCCTGAACATGAGCGTGTTTTCCCCTACCTTCTTGAACATATCTAGCCTCTAAGAAAACTCCATCCCCTGCTAGTCACATGCTTGTCATCTCCTTCCATATGGGACCAGGGTTGTTCTATGGAGCCAGAATATGGCAGAAACGATGGTATAGCACTTTTTAGATTAAGTTATAAGAACAGTTCTATTTCTGTCTTGGGCACACTCTTTCCCTCCTAGATCACTTGTTCAGGGGGATGGCGTCCGTGGTCTTGAGCAATTCTATGAAGTGAGGAACTGGGGCCTTGTCCTAGAAGCCACATGACAGAGTCTGCCATCTCCTACCATACCAGGGGTGCCTCCCCAAAATGAATTCTTTTTCAAAGCTATGTATTTAACTTTTTTTTTTTTTTACAAAACAACCTTATCACCTTCATTACACTTACTATCTCATTTGTCAAATCTGAGATTCCATTCTTAGAAACATTTTTCAAATTCATCTGTTTGAATGGCTGATAAGCACCTCCCTCGTTTTTTTCACCTCTTCTACACCGTTGAATCGCTGTCCTTTCATGTCCCTCTTCATTCATGGAAACAAAAAGTCACACAGAGTGTGGTCAGGTGAGAGGTAAGTAGGACAAGAGAGGCATGCTGTTTTTGCCCAAAACTGGCACGCTGAGATGGCTGCATGAGCAGGTGCATTGTCGTGGTAGCAAAACCAGTCCCCTGTTTGCCACAAATCAGGCCATTCTTGTCACACAGTTACACAATCTTTTCAGAACCTCCAAATAGAAAGCTTGATTAACAGTCTGAACTGGTGGAATCAACTCCAAATGCACTATCCCCCTCACATCAAAAAAACCCAAATGAGTATCGTTTTTGGGGGTACCCCCTTGTATACTCAAGTCTTCAGATGACCGCGGTCCTAGCTGAGAGTTTGACTGAAGCCTCATGGAAACGCTGAGATAACCACTGAGCTCAGCTACTCCCAGATTCCTGTGCGATTACAAACCTTTTTGAAAAAATTTTACTAAATCATTTTATTGGCGGCTCTTACAGTTCTTATGACAATCCTTACATCCATGTGTCAAGCACATTTGTACATATGTTGCCATCATTCTTTTTACATTTTCTTTCTACTCGAGCCCTGGGTATCAGTTCCTCATTTTTTTCTCCCTCCCCCAGAGATAATAAATCTTTTACAACAGTAATTTTTTTTAAATGTAGCAATAGATGATCAATAAATGTACTCATCTACTGCCAATTCAACATCTATTTACATTAGTGACTTCCCCATTATAATGTCACATTTCCTGACTCTATATGCCCAGTGGTTTTTTTCTTCTCACTCAAGAAAGTCACTGCCATCGAGTCAATACTGACTCAGAGCGACCTCCCGTGGGTTTCCGAGAATGTAATTGTGTATGGGAACTGCCGACCGCGAGGGTCGCAGTCCAGCGCCTAACCACTATTAGATGGCATCAATTATGAATACTACATTGTTGGGGGGTAAATTTTTCTGTATTCATAAATATGTTTTACATTTGTTCTGTGATAGAATCACTTGGAAATAATGTGACTCTTCAAAGGCTTGCTGTTCAGTTTTGTTAGAGGGAATCAACCTGCCTTTAGTCTAGAAGCACAGCTAGCCCCATTACTGAAGTCATGCGCTTCAGGGGACTCTACTGGATGCCCAGCTGTCAGGAGCTCTTTCCGTCTGCCTGATGGGAGCAGGAGCTATTTCCCACCGTGTGTCAGTGTAGTCATGCCCTTTTCCTGTTCTTCTCGACAGCCAGGCACATCTGCTCACGTAATGTAGTTAGCGGTTCTCAGTGGAAAATAAGGGACTCTCTCAGCAGCATGCTCACTCTCGTACTCTTTCTCGCCAACTCTCTCCTCTGTGCTCTGTAGATTCTGATCCTGTAGATTCATATCGGAACGTTTTTTCTGCAACTCCACACGCTCTGTCTGGGCTCCCTCTCCGTGCACTGCAATCATGAAACCCTTTTCAGGCAGTAAACTGAGCAACAGTAAGCCTCATTTCATGCATTCATATAAGGATTTCTATCTTGTATTGCCTGCTTTTCAGTGTATGTAAACTACTGACTTTCCTTATTTTTCCGTTTGTTTGTTTCCATGGTTTAAAAACCCAAATTAATCTACTGCTGTCATGGTAATACTGACCCGTAGCAACCTTGTAGGATAGAGCTGACTTCTTATACTTTCCAAGATGATAAATCTTTACAGAAACAGACGGGCACATCTTTGTCCCACCGAGTGTCTGGTGGGTTGGAACTACTGAGCTCTGGGTTAGCAGCCAAGCACCACTGTATCGCAGTTTTAAAAACTCTCACTGCCAGCGAGTCCGTTCCAACCTATAGAACAGTGTAGAACTGTCCCTGTGGGTTTCTGAGACACACTCTTTATGGAAGCAGAGAGCCTCATCTTTCCCCAGGGGAGAGTTGTGCTTGAGTTGTAACCCAGCTGAAAGCTGCATGTGCCGATCTTCATCAGTCAGTGCTTCAAGTCCCCTTTGATTTCAGTCCGCTAAGTTGTTAGTGACCCTTCATCTAAGCCTGATGTCATGTTCTTCTTTACAGTCCCGATTCTCAGAGGATTTGCTCGGCATGCAGATTGAAGAAGTACGGGGAGCGGGTACAACGCTGACACACACCTTTTCAGTATCCCCTTGTTCTGTATCCCCCCAAACTGCCTCTTGGTCTAGTCTCTGCCCAGGTTTTGAATCCCATTCTCAATCTGTTCATAGTTTGTTATGATCACATGATCATAACATGATCACACATATCTTTGCATAATCACTAACACACAAGTAAGCATCTGTTAGTCTCTGCTTTTAGCCAAGAGCAACCAGCCATTAGCAACGACACCCCTTATTCTACATCCTCTTCTAAATCTGACTTGAATTTCTGGCAGCTTGCTGTCAATGAATTGTTGCAACCATCTTAAGATAACCTTCAGCAACATTTTACTTGCGTGTGACATTGATGACATTGTTCCATCATTTCCACATTCTGTTGGGTCACGTGTTTTGTTTTTTAATGGGCACAATACTTCTTAGTCATGATTTGATATTCTTAGCACTGGTAGATTCTGTTTATTACTTTTTATTTATTTTTTGTTTGAAATGCTCTCTCTTTTGTACATTGTTTTTTCTTTTGGAAGTTAGGTGTCAAAGTTATTCTCACTTCATAAAGATAATCTGGTGATACAAATTGCTTCAAAACAGTCTAATGTGAGGGAGCAATGAGACTGAGCAGCTAAGGACCAATCAAACATGCTACTGGGAGTGCC